CTCATCTACACCAGCCAGTACGAGTGAGTGCTCAGGGCCGGAGGGGACAGGGGCCCATCTGATGAGGCTCATCTACACCAGCCAGTACGAGTGAGCGGTCAGGGCTGGAGGGGGACAGGCTCACTCTGTGTGAGTACACGTTGAATGTGTGTGCTGGACAGAGGGACGAGAATGACCCTGAGACACTAATGCTGGTCACCTGCCCAGCCCAGTGCTGGCTGACCTCACATCACTGGGTGGTTCGGTGTGGCCGCTCATGGCACCTCCTGACCCAGAGTTGCCCTCTCCTCACAGCAACTGCCTGACTTACCGGCGGATCTACCTCCCGCCTAGTCGCCCTGATGACCTCATCAGGCCCGGCCTGTTCAAGGGCACCTACGGCAGCCACGGCCTGGAGGTGGTCATGCTGAGCTACCATGGGCTGCGGGCCCGTGGCACCAAGATCACCGTGAGTGCTTGCCCCCCCATCCAGTCACAGCCCTGCCTGAGGGGGTTCCGGGGGGCAGCTGAACCACAGCCATGCCTAAGGGGGTTCTGGGGGGTCAGATGAACCACAGCCCTGCTTGAGGGGTTCCTGGGGGGGAAGCTGAACCACAGCCATGCCTGAGGTGGGGCAGGACCAGCTGGGGCAGGTGAACCACTCTCCCTGACGGGGTGGGGACCTGGGCTGGGGGGTGTGCACTCTGCCTGAGTGGGGCCCAGTGCCACTCTGTCCTCCTTCAGAAGGCAGAGTCCAGGCCACCTGACCGAGTCAGAGCCTGCTGGTCACCAGCACCTGGTGACTGCACGTTGTTGTGCCAACATGTGGGTTCAGAGACTCGGGTGCTGAGGGCCTTTGGGAGCTTATTGCACCCCCACACTGGCTGTGTCCTGGGGCTGGGCTTTGTGGGCTAGGATGCAGGGCAGCCCCAGGGAAGGACCCCCGTGCTCCAGTGTCCCTGTGGCCAATAGACAGAGTGTCCCAGCTGAGGGTGACCATCACTCTCACTGGCTCCCCTTCTCCACTGCACCCCCAGGGTGACCCCAACATCCCGGCTGGGCAGCAGACGGTGGAGGTGGACCTGAGGCACCGCATCCAGCTGCCCGAGGGGGAGAACCTACGTAACTTCAACGAGCTGTCCCGCGTGGTGCTGGAGCTGCGTGAACAGCTGCGGCAGGAGCAGCAGCGGCAGGAGGCCGGCGAGGGCGCGCACGGGGACAGCACGGTGCAAGGGGACGCCCTTGGCCCCGCCCTGTCCTCAGGAGAGCCACCTGCCAAGGGCGCCGCTGCAGAACCCGCCGAGGGCCCCCAGAAGCCCAAGGGCGGTGATGAGGCCACAGCCCAGCAGCCCACTGAGTCGGGGCAGCCGTTCGTGCTGCCCTTGGGGGTGAGCTCCCGCAACGAGGACTACCCCCGTACCTGCAGGATGTGGTAAGGCACGCCGAGGGGGGCTGCTGCCCATTCCTGAGGGACCCCGCGGCTGGGGGTTGTGGAACACAGTGCTGGGGGACCCCGAGACTGGGGCCTGGCCTTGGTAGGTCTGCGTAGTGTGCTCGGGGATGCCAGGCTGCCGCGGTTTTGGGTAGGGAGTGCCTGTGGTCTCGTGATAAGGAAGCCCCACACCAAGGCGGATGGTCAAATTCAGTAGCCGTCTGCAGGACACACGGGCAGTCTCCTGACGTGTGCTGTGAAGACTGAAAATGCGCTAAAGGGTCAACTGTGAGTCAGCCCTGACTCAGCACACAGCGATACCACCACAGCTCGGCCGGTCACAGAAACAAGTCACCACAAACCACATCGCTGTGCCCGCCAGCCACAGTCTCTCCTGCTTGGGCGGGGCCACAGTGGTCCCCACTCTGCACAATGGGAGCCCAGCTCCCCCTCCCCTGAAGAGTAAGGGAGTCGCAGCTCATTCCACCCCAGAGAGAAGCAGGAATCAGACCCCCCCCAGAGAATGGGAGTCAGAGCTCCCCACATTTCACAGAGTGTGGGATCACAGTTCTCCCACCCACAGAGGATGGGATCACAGCTCCCCCTGCTCTTCAGTGTATAGAGTCCCAGCTCCCCCACCCACAGAGGATGGCTTCATCCTTTCTGGTGACCACAGTGGAAGGTGGTCTTGGGGGCAGCTCCCTGGAAGGAGCTTGGGGCCAGTCCTGTCCTGTCTCCTGGTTCTTGTTCAGACGAGATAACCCTTTTTATGTCACCCTGGTTCCTATTCACGCTGACCACACGGGAGGCGGTGTACAGACTGCTGGCCCTTCCAGATAGGGCTGGGAGCAAGGGCACAGGGCAGCGCCACGTGGGCTTCCTTCTGACCTCATGGGTGCTTTGAGACAGGACCATTTCAGGGCACCCTTAACAAGCACAATTGCCCCGAGGGGCACGTGACTTGGTCAGAAACAGCGTGTTGTCTGTATTTTTCAGGGTGTCCACTCTGGGACAGTGTAGCTAGGGGGGCAGGTGCCTGTGCGTGGCTAGTTCTGCCTCAGCGGGAGCGTTGGAGTGTGCCGTCCCTCACCCTGTCTCTCTTCCCCAGCTTCTACGGCACGGGCCTCATTGCTGGCCACGGCTTCACCAGCCCCGAACGCACGCCGGGTGTCTTCGTGGTCTTTGACGAGGACCGTTTTGGTTTCATCTGGCTGGAGCTCCGCTCCTTCAGCCTCTACAGCCGGGTGCGGGCAGCCTTCCAGAACGCTGAGGCCCCGTCCCCGCAGGCCTTCGACGACATGCTCAAGAACATCCAGGCGCTGGCCTCCTGAGGGGCTGGGCGAGCCTGCGTCGTGGCCGCGGTACCCGTGCCCAGCCTGCGCCATGCGTGCGGTTCCCGTGCCCAGCCTGCGCCGTGTGTGCGGTTCCCGTGCCCAGCCTGCCCCAGCTGTGCGGGAAGCCAAGCATGTCACACGGGAGACACGCGTCCCCTCAGGGACCCCTGTGCCCAGTGTGCTGACTGCCTCGTGGAGTGTCCCTGCTGCTTGGTGGTGGGAGAATAGGTGTGTCCTCTGTGGTCTCAGCATCATGGTGCAGAGGCTACGAGGGTCTGCCTGTGGGACTGAGGCTGGGGGAGTGCAGGCCTGGGGTCTGGACAGAGGTGTGGGGTTCTCAGCTTCCCAGGCCGCAGACAGCAGGTTTGTGAGGGCCAAGCATCCTGGAGGGTACACAGTCCCCGGCCTGCATATGTCACCTGGATGGATGTCCTTCCCCACTGCCCCTGACCTATGACGTGTCAGCTCAGGGTCACTGCCCACCCTGGGGTAGCGCAGCATGGACAGAAGTGACCGGTCAGCTGGGGGCTGGGAATGCGGCTGTGTCCTTCCTCAATGGAGTTGTGTGCTGAAGGTGTCTGGGCGTGCTGACCGGGGGGACACAGCCTCTGAAGACACTGGGGGTGCTGGGCGTAGAGGGACAGTGCAGGCTGTGACCGGCTTCATGTTTCCCTTGCTCATCTGTGTTACTCGCTTGCTGGGAGGAGAGCACATGAATGTGGCCGAGACATCTCCAGTCCTGCGCGGACTGATGGACAGGACAGGCGGGCATGCCCACAGCATCAGCTTGTCCTGGGGAAGGTCCTGCCAGGCCAGGTGGCGAGAGGTCTGATTGTGCCTTGGCCAGTGGCAGCTTGGGGCTGGGGATCTTCTGCAGTTTTAAATAAATATGATTTTCAAACCTTGCTGAATCTCTCTCTTGTGGGAGGCATCCTGACAGGACCAGTCATGATCTCCCCAGCTAGAGGTGCGGGTGACAGTGCAGACGGATGCCTGCCGCTGGACTCCAGCCCTGAAGGTCAGTGGGCAGGACAGAGAAAGGATGAGGGGATGCTGCAGGGCAGGATGGGGTCAGCGGGAAGGACCAGGACAGAGCCGAGGGGACGCCTGCAGGCCAGGATGGGGTCAGCAGGCAGGACCGGGACACAGTTGGGGGGATGCCTGCAGGTCAGGATGGGGTCAGCGGGCAGCTTGGGACAGGGTGGGGACAACCGCAGGGGACATCGGCAGGCCAGGATGGGCAGCAGGTCTTTGAGACAGCCTCTGCCCGAAGCTGAAGGACAGCAGACCTCAAGGTGTCACCCAGATAGCGGCTTTGCCCTTCAGGCCCACTTGCACGCACAAGGTCTGGACGGAGAGGGCCACTCCCACCAGGAGAGGGCGCAGGCTGCACTTGGCTAGCTGCCTCCCCCTGCTCCTGATGTCCCCTTGCAGGGCGCTCTGGGGGCATGAGGCCTGTGGTGCCTTCGATGGCCCTGACCCTCTCTGCCCTGGGGTGGCTGCCACCTGGGGGCAGTGACACCCTCTACCTCAAACCAAAAGCCTCTCCCTTTCTTCCCCCTTGTCCTACCCACTCGCACATCCCACCCCCCCATTCATCCTGTCCTTCCTGTCCCCCTCCTGCGCCCGTACCCCCATCCCCCATCTCTCTTCACCTTCCCCTCCCCTCCCCCACGGTCACCTCAGCCACCCAGGCCCTGCTGCCCCTCTGCAGACTGACCCCCTGTCTGTCCGCTCGGAGACATCCCCTTCCCTACCAGTGTTTCTTCAATGCCTACTTTTGGGGTGGGGTCAGGGGCCGCTGACCATTGGCAGTACGATGTCTGCCTGGCCTCTGGGGGCCTGGCCAGCTCTCTGACCCCAGGTCCCACTTGCCATGCAGCCTGGTCCCAGGACTGTCCTGTCCTCAGAGCTTCCAGGCACTCAGCATGTCACAGGATGATGGCTCCATTGTCACTCTCCTGCTGTCCCCCTGACAACAGGGACCCGCCCAGTCTCATGGGGACACTCGAGTCTGAGCTCGTAGCTCTGACATCCTCCCCTCTCCTGGCTGAGCCTGCTGTCCCTGGCCAAGCAGCGTGGCAGGACTGGGCCCCTCACCCGACAGCTTGCCTCCCCTCTGTGATCAACATTCCAGCGGAATGTCCAGTGGGGTGTTGCCCCGGAGACGTACAGACAGGGCTGGTGGCAGCTTGGGAAGCGTGGCCTTGGTACATGGTGGGGCTGGGCCATGGGGCGCTGGGCCTGGCCAGGCTGCCCGCTCTGGCCTCTGGTCATCACAGAACAACCTCTGTGCCTCTCCTAGGTTGCTGGTGAAAGCAGGTGACGACAGGCAGGAAAACACAGGGCCTGCACGGGTGGCGTGAGCTCCTCCGTAGGAGCCCAAGCTGCCACACGCCGACAGGTGGGCGGACTGAGGGTGGTCATGCAGCTCGTGGCTCCGGGAGGGCCAGGTGAGAGGTGGGCAGTAGACCAGGGCGCAGGCACAGCCCTCATCTGTCTTGGGTGGGAAATACCTGCTGGTCCAGGCTGCCCAGTCAGATGAGAACAGGGGAGAGACAGACCCCTGTGTGTGAGTACGCCCCGAATGTGGTATGCTGTCTGGTGCCATCTAAGGTGCTGTCTAGCGGGTTCCTGGTCCCTGTGACCCCAGGACGAGCAGGGGGTGTCCTGTGCCTCCTCAGAGTCAGTCCACGTGAGGGAAGCCTCTTCCACTGACCCTCCTCTACCGAGCATGGTGACCCTCTGCAGAGGCGGGTCCCCCATGCGATGGTGCCCAGATGGTCACTCTGAAGTGAATGGATGGTTGGGCGTCACGTTATCCCAGTTACGACCCAAGAGCAGAGCACACGCTCTGGTGTGAGTGGGGGAGGGTGGGAAGGAAGCACCACCAAGCGAGGGCGTCTTTCATTCACGTCACAATTTTTTAAAAATGTACAAAGACCAGAGTACGTGGGGCGGCTTCAGCGAGCTCGCCTCAGAGGTGCACGGGGCAGTTGCCCCCTGACGGGCTGGTGATCTTCCAAAGTCCACGCCGGGCTGGGAGTTCAGGTCTCTCCCCAGCACAGGCCAGATCGAGCAGCTCGTCGCTGGTCACCCTATGCAGTGTGTGACATCATGTCAGTCCACTTCAGAGTGGCCCCACAGGAGAGGACATCTGCCCCGTAGGAGCCCCAAGCCCTGCCTGTGGAGGCTGACCACTTCACCGCCTCAGGCGGAGACACTGGCCCGTTCAAGTGGCCAGCTTATTAGCCATGGGGGTGCCTTCCGCCAAGCTGCAGGGCCCCTTTGCCATGGGACTTGCCTGTCCTGGCCCAGATGCCTTTGGCCAACTTCAGATTCACCGGGGTCCATATTGTCCCTGGGCACTGGTTCCAGTCTTTTTCACTCCCCTCCAGGGGACAAGGACCTGGGGTGTGGTGCCCTGTGGACCCACAGGCCACTCCGGTGGCAGAGGTTGGCGGTGTGTGTCTCAGGGTAGGGAGATGGTCTGGGCAGGTGCCCACTCCAGCCAGGCCCAGGAAGGGGCTCTTTTGGGCATGTATTTGGCCTGCCCTCTGCCCCTCACCAATCCAACTCCAGTCTTTCACTCTGCTGCTCCGGCATGTTGACCCCAGTCCAGTGCCCCAGAGGACTCTCAGGCCAGGAGCTCAGGGCTAGGTGCTAACGGGGCAGCATCTCAGTGGCTCAGCATGGAGGGACAGAGGGACAGGGCCAGGATCCCCTGTGGAAGGGCGGTGGCTCCTGGGGTAGAACTTGTTAACTTTACAAGGTGAAGCTGGTGACGTGAGGTCTCTGTTGTATTTTCATCACCCCACCGTCCCTGTCATCACATGGTTGTCACTGGGGCGTCATCCCCACACCCATGTCCAGCCTGCCCCTGCCCCAGTCCCGTCCCCATGCCCACAAAGGCTCATGTTCTAAGTGTCCAGCATCTTTTCCAGGATGAGTGCATCGCAATCCTTCGGGAAGGACAATCTGGTGAGGAAGCCAGCCACTGGGCCCGGACCCTGGGGGATGTGAGGGTGTCACCACGCCCCAGGCCATCCTAACGCCACATGGACACAGGTGTCTCCTGGGCAGCTGCATCCCTGTCGTCCCGGGGGCTGTGGGCCTTTCTGCCACCACGTATGCACCCAACCCACAGACAGGGACAGTGTCTGCAGCCCCCAGAGCTGGTGTACCCCTGCTTTCAGAAAGGGGCCAGTTCTTACCCCGCAGCGAGGCCTCATCCCTGTGCTGGTTCCTCCCCTTGCTCGCTTCCTTGTCCAGCATCCCCGGGCTCTTCCTCATGCAACCTGTGCCTCAGTTTCTCTTTTCTACACCCTCTAGGTGGGCCCTGTCCCCAGCACTGTGACCCCCGGGCCTATCTGCTGCTCATGTCGGGTGGAACCCAGAGACCACCTGCCCATACCTAGGGCAGATGCTGGGCTTCCCGACTGGGTCCCGCTGTCCCTGAGGCCCTGGACACAGGTAGGTGGCTCGGCCGGGCGTGTCTCCTGGCATGGGGAGTGGATGTGAGTGGCAGTGGAAGCATCCACATCTCGGGTCCCGTGTTCAGCTGACTCTTCTCCGTGGACTGGATGGCAGTGTGCAGGGTGGGCTTACCCGGTGGGGCAGGTGTGTGCTTGCTCGCCTGTGTGACCATGTCATGGCCACATGGATGCAGCAGCGCCGGTGGCCGTGGAACCACGTTGACTCATGGTGACCCCACACGTGCCGGGCAGGGGCGCTCCGTGGGGTCTCCAGTGGCTGGCTGTTCTGAGGAGAGGGCAGGCCCTTTCCCCATGTGGCAATGAGTAGCCTCCACCGTTGCAATTAGCAGCCAAGTGCTCTTGATCCTGAGGACAGAGCCCTACCTCTGAGCATCTGGTGGATGCAGACAGGATGGCTCCTGGGCTCCAGAGCCTGGGTACCCCGTGTGGGCCCAGAGGGGCACGTGCTGTCCTGAGGGCTCTGGGGGCCAGGGAGAGGGGGCCCAGACAGGGCACACTCAGACCTTCTGCCCTGTGCTGGGACTGAGGGGAGACTGGCCAGCGGTACCTGACTGTTCCCATTCAGCACCTCTTACCCTCCCTCTCTGCTTGGTTCAAAAGACAGGCCAAGTCTGCACCTCCGGGACCCCCAGAGCCAGGACCCCCAGGACCTGTAGCTGCCCGTGCCACCGCTTTGGGGGCCACCTTCCGGTCCCTCGAGACCAGGCAGTGATGCCCTACTGGGTACCCCAGTGCCTGCGGGCCCCAAAGATGGTGAGAGAAAGGGGGGCAAGGGGCAGGAAGGGGAAACTGGGGACTTCCGGCAGGCGCTGAAAAGCTGGGAGAGCAAGGGAGTGTCAGTGCCCTGGTGGCTGGGCAAGAGGTGTTCTCTGAGAGGAGCCCCACGTTTTACTTCTATCCCTTCCCCCTCTTCCTGCCTCTTGAGTCCCCCCAGCTGCCTCCTTCCCTCTCCTCCCTCTCCCCTCCCTCCTCCTCGCCCCCACCTGTGTCCCATCCTCCTGCCTCCCTGAGCCTCCTTCCGTCCTGACCACAGGTCTCTGTGCATGTGTACGCTCGTGTGTGTGCATGCGTGCGTGAGTACAGCTGTGCACACACGCAGGCTTGCAGACGTGCTTGGAGGTGTGTGAGTGTGCGTGCGTGAGTACAGCTGTGCACACGCAGGCTTGCAGACGTGCTGGTAGGGGTGCACATGTGCGTGTGTGCAGGCAGAGATGCGTCCATGTGCACGTGCACAGCTTGTGTGTATTTTTCAGGTGTATGTGTGTGCGCGCACGTGTAGGTGTGCAGGCTCCAGGGTGTGTGTATGTGCATACGTGTGTGTGCAAGGGGACGTGTGTATGCATGCATATATACGGTGTGTGCATGTGAGGGAACACATGCATGCATGTATATATGTGTATGGACTTGCGTGTGCACGTATGTGCGTGAGGAGGACGTTGGAGTAGGATGCCGCCCAGGGCTCCCAGCCGCGTTACTCTGTGCCAATGCGTCTGTGGCCCTCGGGCTGGGAGGTACCCACAGCAGCCTCTTCTTGTGCCCACAGCCCCCCCAGCTTCCTTCTCTCCATTACCCACAAGTCCAGTTAGCCAGCCCGTGTGGACTCCTGAGGTGTCCTGCCTGCATCGTAGCTGGCTCCTATGTCCCGTGTCCTGCGGCCACTATGCTGACCGAGCCTGCCTTTGTGTCTCAGGCTGAGGGGGAGCAGCCGAGCGATGACGACTTCGAAGGTAGCGGTCAGGCGGCCTGGACACCACGGGGGGGGGGGGGTGGCGTCGTGGGGTTTCTCCCGGCTCCAGGGACTCCAGATTGGGGTGGGTCAGGCTTGGGGTCCGGTCACACTGTGCCACTCCCAGGCTGCTCAGAAGTCAGTCAGCACAGCTGTCCTGAGTGGGCCTCTTGATGTCTTCATGAGGAAGAGTGGGACCAGCGAGGGGCTGGCTTTGTTCTGGAGGGGAGTTCTGACCCCTGGGGGGACACTGGGGGTCATCTCACCCAGTGGCAATGAGTCTTCCCAGGAAGTGCCCAGGTGGTACATTTCCGGTGGGCACTCTCCTGGAAAACCGCTCAACACTGCCTCCTGGTGGGAGGGCTGTCACAGGTGCTCCATCCATGTGAGCAGATGCCCCTGGGTCCCAATAAAACTGGATTCGCAAACCCTGGGATCTGGCCGTAGCCCTGGCTGCTGTCAGAGAAGCTGAAGCTTAGCCAGGAGGCGAGCCCAGGGTGTTGGTGGCCAGGCTCCCAGTGGCCTCTGGGGCCTGGTTTTAATTTCCACATTGAGGGTCATTTTTAAAGGGCCAGGAGGGAGGTCTTCAGGTCGAAGGCCAAGTCACTTGCCCCTCACATCAGGTCCTTGAGGCCTTGGACATGAGTTGACCTTTTGCTGGGACTTCTCCCATCCACTCTCAGGTGGCAGCACGCCCAGCTCCGTGTCCCCAGTCCTGGCCGGGCCGGCTCCATCCCCCCTCCGCCCCCTCCCTGGATGACGTAGGAGTCAGTCCCAGGTGGACTATCTGTCCACTGACGGTGTCCGTGTGTGACGGGCATCCCCGCGGTGACTGTCACTTGGCTTGTGCTCCGCCCCTCTCCTCACAGGAGACGACCTGGACGAGGATGTCTGGTACGGGCACTGGCGGGTGTGCTGTGACCCAGCCCAGCTGCTCCAGTGGCAGCTGCTGCAGGCCCTGTGGGCCCCGGAGGCCGAGAGCAGGGCCGGCCCCGACCCCAGCCTGCTGCCCTTCCTGTCGCTGGGCCTCAGTCTGCTGGGCCTCTTGCAGGCCATCATGAGCGTCCTGGCCGCCTTCCGGTGAGCAGGTCCACCTGCTGCGGGCCGCCACACTGAAGTCGGGGGTCGGGAGGGAGGCAGGTCACTGCCGTGGGGTTGGAAGCGACTCTTAGCTGACCCTTCTGAGCTGCCTTGTGGTGGGCCTTGGAGGCTGTGACTCATGTCGACAGAGCTGGATTCGAACCACCGTGGGGGTGGCCTTTGGGTGAGCAGCACAGACCCTTTGGACGGTGCCCAGAGCTCCGGAAGACCCCGTGGTGCAGCTGCAGGAGCCCAGGTGGTGCTGACTGCTGCTAGGAAGGCTGGGGGTTCAAGCCCACCGCTGCTCTGAGAGGGAACGATGACGCAGCCTGTTTGCAGCCTGGACGCCCTGTGGATGGGCCGCTGCGCCCCGCAGGGCCACTGTCTGTCAAATGGACTCAATAGAGTGACCTTGAGGTTTAGGACTAGCGCAGATCAGGGCCTGGAGGCCCCCAGGCAGCAGCTGCCGGCAGACATGGTGGCACCAGCGCCGTGTCCAGATGGGAACCACGGGCAGGTCCACTGCCCACCTGCCACTGTGGTCAGAACCAACATATGATATTTAACGCGAGTAGGCCTAGTGAAGTAACTGTGTGGTCAGTTTGCTCCCCTGAAAGTGTTTAATGAATAGACTACGTTTATCAAAACCTAGCTCGCTGCCTCCCAGTGGGAACCTCCCCCCCACCCCCACCCCGCAGCCTTCACAGCAGGTTTTCTGGCTGTAAATGGAGACTGCCCAGCTTCCTTCAGGCCTGTGGTGGATTCGAACTGCCTGAGATGTGCTGCCCACATAAGGCACCTGGCCCTCACTGTGCCGCCTCACCCCTGCCTCTCTCTGGGGAGGCTCTGGCCGTGTCCCCTAACCCCCGACCCCAGGGGAGGCTCTGATGCCTTGGTCCCAGCCTGCTTCCCACCCTCTCTGCTTCCAGTCAGCTGTTGGAGGTCTGAGGTGGACTCTGTGATCACGCCAGGACTGTGGCCACAGCAGAGGACTCCAGGAGGCCTGTGGCCCCGTCTTCTCAGATAGCGGCCGGCGCTAGGTGTGAGGTCCTGGTGTGAGTGTGGAGCAGGGCTGTCCTGGGTTCTGGCCATCAGCAATAAATGTTATTATGGAAGCTGTGTGGTGCCTCTCTCTGTGACGGCCTTTTGCCCCCTCCCCAGAGTGAGGGCTGTCCCCTCCATGCCCCCCAGCACCCGGCAGGTCCACTGGACAAGAGCCAATGAGGTTCCAGCCCGGTTCTCCATAAACAGCACGAAATCATACATGAACTGAGCTTGTAAAGACGTGTAACCCACAGAATATCCACCCTCAGGGTGTGGTGGCATATACACCGGCAAGGGTGGGTGGCTGTCACCCGAGCCCCCCGACACCTGTTCTCCCCCAGTGTCCCACCACTCGTCCAACTGCAAACATTTCCTGGGTGTCGGGCTCGGTGTGTTCAGATGTGGCACGGCCCCAGCGGTCACTGGACAGATCCCAGCCCCGTGTCAGGAGTGCGGGGGGCCTGGTCCTGGTCCCTGGGAAGGACACCTGGGGGAACTTGGACCCTGACATCTGACTTGGATTTGAGAGGCTCCCTCTGGCGGCCGCGCTGGGGATTGCTGGAGAGGGACAGAAGGACAGGTCACTTTGTGAGGACAGAATCCAGATGTGCGGAGGGAGGGAAGATGGCAGGTGATGGGAAGCCTTGTGGGGATGGGGACTTGGCTGATAAGAGTGAAGAGGGGAGGGGATGGCCTCCCCCCCACACACAGAAAGAACAAAACACATTCCTACCTGCCTCCCCCTCAGGGGTCACTGAATGGTGCACAGCTAGACCCAGCCCAGGGTCAGGAGGACCTAGGCTGTCAGCTTCACTCTGCGTGTGACTCTCCCCTCCCTCCTCTCCCTCCCTCTTCTCCCTCCCTTCTCTCCCCTCCCTCCTCTCCCATTTCCCCACTTCCTCTCTCTCCCTCTTGCCTCCCTCCCCTCCTTCCTGCCCCTCCTCCTTTCTCACCTTCTGCCCCCACCCCTTGTTTGCTCTGGTCTTGCACTGGGACATCTCTGCAACCCTCCAGCTCAGGCCTGAGGCTGGCCCTCAGCTGTGGACTCTGTCCCTCTGTCTGTCCACTCTGGATGCTGTCTTGCTGAAGGCGCTCTGCTTGGTCAGTGGCTGGGATGTACTCGGCTCACTTGTCTAGGCTGACATGTCTGGTTGGACTGGGCACCTTGGGGTGCAGAGAGCCACCTGCCTGAGGAGAAGACGGCCTGGGCGATGCAGGCGGCTGGCACCCACGCGGCTCCCCTTCACAGGCAGCAGTGACCAGTCACAGGCCACATCACAGATCCTGTGACAGACATTTTATTCCCGTTTAAAAACTTTTTCATTGTTGCACATTTTCACCCCTTCCCCGCTCCCCGCCAGCTCACCTGCAATGCACTGCTTGTTCCAGATTGTTTGCCTGCGTATATAATGCATAATCGTATAGTCCTTTCAAACAGTTCTTCCCCATCTGTTGCAATGCAGTGTTTATTGTCTGTCCATCCCTACCCCATTCCTTCTCCAACCCCCCAGGTCTGTCCTATCTTAGAGCAACAGTACTATGCAGTATTTATCCTTTTGTGACTGAGCTATTTCACTTAGCATAATGTCAAGACTCTCCCCATGTTGTGTAATGTTTAACTAGGTGGTTGTTTTTCAGTGCTACATAGTAGTCCATTGTGTGGCTGTACTGTAGTTTTTCTATCCACTCATTTATTGATCGGCACTTGGGTTGCTTCCATGTCTTTGCTATCATGAGTAATGTGGCTATGTCCCCTCTGCCTTTGGCGCTTCATGGCCTCAGACATGGCTCTGAGCTGGGATGCCTGATCGCAGCTCGCTGGTCACTTCCTGCCTGTGCGAGCCCCTGCCTCAGTTTCCTCTGCAGGACAGTGGGGCAGAGCTATCCCTTGTACCCAGTTCAGTCCCTTGTCCCCAGCTAGGTCCCCCATCCCCAGCTCGGCCTCTTGCTTGGCCCCTTGTCCTCAGCTCCGTGGAGGCTAAGTGTACTGCTGTTTAGAGAGTTCTCAGAGAGCAGGTGCTACGGACTTGTTCAAATGAAAGTACATAAGCCCGCCCGTGGTGCCGATTGCTGGGTGTACTGGCCTCGTGCCCATCACCTCCATGGGGTGACCTGGACTCTGGCGGTGTGGCCACACATCTCTGAGATGGTAGAGGGCAGCTTCAGGACAGAGCATGTTGGGGTGTCTGCAGGTCTGACCTCTGAGCCCCTGGGAGCCCGTGAAATTCCAATTTTACAGAGTGTCTCCTGCTTGCTGGGTGATAGGCCGGCTAGGTGCTGCTGCTGGCTGCTGGAGGTTTCTTAATTGGCTTCAAATGGAGCTGCAGTGTTTCTGTGGGTTTACGACCCTGGGGAATGGGCCTCGGTGTTTGTTTAAGGCCTCGTTCGCAGTCCTGACTGGTGGTAACGTTCATTTCATGGGACCTTAATGATGCACATGGGGAGGAAAGCTGTCAGCCCCTGACCCTTAGGCACTTGGTCTGTTTGGGGCCATGTGAAATGTTTTGCCTCACTTGTAAGAAAGAAGGAGAAAAAAGAGGTGTTGTTTTTGCTCAGAAAAAGAAATATTTCACAGACAAACCTTGTTCTGCTGTGGAACACGTGTCAAACATAAGAAGCAAACGCTTGGAAATGTTAGCCTCCCATGGAGAGGTGGGACAGCCACGGCCTCAACAGCGCCTGTGAGCCGCACCATTTGTTCCTCCTTCTCCTTATGCCCACCCACCTGCTCCAGCCTCCCATCCCTCCCATCTGTCCCTCTGCTTGTCTATCCACCCTCGTTGTCCTTCCTTCTTTCCACCCACCCTCTCATCTTTACTTCAGTCCCTCCATCAATATATCACATCTGTCCTTCTATCCCTCCCATCTGTCCATCTGTCTGTCCAATTGATCCATTTGTCCTATTCATCCTTCCTTCTATCCATCCATCCGTCATCCATCCATCCATCCATCCATCCACCTATCCATCCATTCATTCTTCATCCATCCAATCATCCATCACGCCAATCCTTCATTCATGTTTGTCCTTCTTTTCACATCCATCTATCCATCTACCTATCCATTCATTCATCATCCAACCATCCTTCCATTCACTTGTCCATCCATCCATCCATCCACTCACCTAATCATCCATCCATCCATCCATCCATCCATCCATCCATCCACCCACCCATCCATCCACCCACCCACCCACCCATCCATCCATCCA